CTGCCACCCGTGGACCCCCCCTGGCTGTCCCCAGCCCCCGTTGGTGACAGCGCATGACTCCGTCCCCGTGGTGACGCTCCACAGAGTTCAAGGAGGCGTTCTCACTCTTCGACAAGGATGGGGATGGCACCATCACCACCAAGGAACTGGGCACCGTCATGCGCTCCCTGGGCCAAAACCCCACCGAGGCCGAGCTGCAGGACATGATCAACGAGGTGGACGCTGCTGGTGAGCCCCGCCTGTCCCCCGTGTGTCCCCTTGTCCCCCTGTCCCCCTGCTCACCATCCCTCCACCCCTCCGCCACCAGGCAATGGCACCATTGACTTCCCCGAGTTCCTCACCATGATGGCGAGGAAGATGAAAGACACGGACAGCGAAGAGGAGATCCGTGAAGCTTTCCGTGTTTTCGATAAGGTGGGTCGGGGACAGGGATGGGAGCAGGGGAATGCGAGAGGTAGTGGTTTCACTGCCATGTCCCCAACCCCAGGACGGCAATGGGTACATCAGCGCGGCAGAGCTGCGGCATGTCATGACCAACCTGGGGGAGAAGCTGACGGACGAGGAGGTGGATGAGATGATTCGCGAGGCTGACATCGACGGCGATGGACAGGTCAACTACGAGGGTGAGCGCTACTGTCACCCTGAGGGACCCCGCTGTCACCCAGCATCTCCTCTGTCACCCACAGGTCCCTGCTGGCATCCAGTGGGACCCCACTGGCACCCACCCCTGGGGCTCCTCATCCCCCAGTGCCACACTTATGTTCTGCATCACCGTTGGCCTGGGATACCACCACGTCCCCTGTCACCACTGGGCTGGGACATCACCGTGTCCCCTGTCCCCTGTGTTTGGGACAGGGACACAGCAGGGACAGGAGTGGGGATGGAGACAGCATCCATGTCTCCTGTCACCATGAACGCAGGATCCCACCACGTTCCCCCATCCCCAAGGAGCCAGATCCCATCGTATCCCCTGTACCTGCCAGTTTGGGACCTCACAGTGTCCCCTGTTCCCACCCCTGCTGTGTCACTGTCCGCAACCCGTCCCCTGTTCTTGCTGTGTTCCTGTCATTGTCATGTCCGTGTCCCTGCTGTGTCCCCATTTTGTCCTTGTTCCCATCGTGTCCGTGTCCCTGCTGCGTCCTCATCCCCACTGACCCTCCCTCTTTCCTGGCAGAGTTTGTGCAGATGATGACAGCGAAGTGAGGGGTCACGAGGCCACCAGGACCCCCCCCCCC